AAAGTTTGAACTGAAAGATATGGTAATATACATTTATGGATTTAATGCATTTTTCTTGTATTGGTATTGTTCTATACTACTGGATTCTGGAGCTGCTAAGTCACTATAGACCATCAATGCATGATAAGATGATGATGTAATGATGCTAGGTGCTCACTTTTGTTCTGATGAAGTTAACAATGGTGTCTCTTACTCGCTGTATGCAAGGTCTGATAATATATTTTCATTGCACTCTTTTCTCTCTGAGCGATGCGTACTCTAGAGACTTGAATAAACAGTTGGATAGAAATAATGTCTTTGTGCTTTCATTTATTAAAAAAGTTAAAGCCTCCATGGAATTGTTAATATAAAAACATGTTCTTATGTATACTCACACCAGTCCTATCAAGAAAAAACAAAAGGATAATCCTTGCTGCCAAAACAGAAAATAAACAAAGCCAGAACAGAAGCATAAAAAATGACTATTTGGAACAGAAATCAAAAGCTTATTTGGCCAAATATGCTCTGAGAAGTGAGAACAAGAGCTTGTAAGAAAATTCCAGTACCTGTTTCTCAATAAAAATCCCTAAAATAGATTTGATGAATAAACCAAGCACATACCGAAGTTTTTAGAATTTTCTCAGGAGAAACCTTCAATTGCTCGAAAATCGCAGTTGATTGGGCTAATTTCCTCTTCCGCGATTGTGCTCTGGCAGCCAGGTTTCCTTCGCTCCCTGTACTGAAGCCTCCGTTGCCGCTAAATTCATCTTCCGCGATTATGTGTCGTCGGTTGCGATGGAGAGAAGTAGCCGCCTCTGGTTGCGGTGGATAGTAGGCAACCTGGAAGAGGGATAGGACTTCTCGTTTTGGTAGAGAGCAGAAAAGTGAAACCTCCGTTAACGTTTACAATTCCCGTTTATTACACAAGGACTGAAGTGCAAACTTTTTTCTAGAATTGAATGCCCAGTCAGTATTTTGCTTATCCACGTGTCTAATGCTTATTGGGCCACATAAACAAGGCACCGTAGAAAGTACCTTCCTTTAATTTAAATACGGAGTATTATGTTGTTGCTTCACCTAAATTCACCAAAGCGACTCTTTCCTTCTCAACAACTCACTCACAATATATAGGCCGGAGTATAATAATTTAAATAGTTACGTATTATATATGTTTGTTTTACATCTATCTTTCATATGCTATATTTTCAATCCATCGACTTTTTAAGATATGATGTTTATTCGTGAGACTGAACATTTATGAGATAATTTAGGATGTTTTCTAGAAATCTCTTTGATTGTAAAGTCTACTTGCTAAGCATTTAGGAATGTACCGTGAGTACTGCGTACTACTACGTACTACTATCGTATAATATGGAGTAAAAGACAATAAAATCATCTTCATTTCGCCATGTGTTGAGCCACATACATTTTTTTTATTTTCTACATTTTTACGTATCATTAAACTTATGCAAAATATCTCTGTTTCCGAAGTGAAGATCCCACCAAATTCTTTTTTTTGTAAACTGCTATATTTACCCTATCTACCAATTATATTCTAGCATCGAATGAATGATCAGAACATTAAAGTGTCAAGGTCTTTCACAGCCAGTGTAGCATGCATAATACCTGTACCGTGCATTAGATTTGAATAGAAGTATGTGTGAATATATGAATGTATGAATGTACGTACCTCCCAAACTATCTCTCACATGCAGCCAGCGTAAATCTATCGTACTGGACTGATTCATCTCGAAATAAATGCACTTACCAGGCCAAATTGCCAATAATATGCTAGTAATGTGAAGGGCAAATGAATGGTTCACATGAGTGCTCGCAATTAAATAAACAGTTTAGAAACCATGCTACAAATAAATAGCAGGCACGCAGTTACCAAAGTCAGACAACCGGAAGATTTGAAGTTATTGTTCTCGTGATTTTCTTAGGCGGGAACAGTTATGCCACACCGTCTTCTCTTTATATATATATATAAAGATATCATTGACTTGAAAAGTGAAGTTTGACTAATTGATACGGACTATTAAACTTTGTAAAGTGTTTATATGTTTATATTTCATTTCTTTATAATTAATTATTTAATTACTATTATGTGTTGCTCGCTCGCTCGCTTGCTGCGAACCTCACTGCAATATAACTTTATTTAAATTGTTTCAAGTTTAAAAATGTGTAACCCATAAGACACGTATCACTTTTAAACATTGTCATATTTAAGTTTCAATTAATTTTTATTTGCTAAAAACATCACCCCTTTTGAACTAATAAATAAGAAATTTTATTTTTGAACCCCCTTTCAAAAAACAAACGTATCCGGAACAATAAGGAGAAAATCAGCTCAGTATAGCAAATTAGCAATCATTGCAGCGGTAGAAGTCTGAACTTAATCTTGGCCCATTTAGGCTATGTTTGGCACGCATAAGTCTCTGTATTCTAGCTTTTGTATTATTTAATAAGTTTTTAAAAGCTTCAAGTTGTGTGTTTGGTATGTCAATTTTAAGAGCTTTTCAAAAAATAAAAAGATCTTTTTTGAGACTAGATTTCTCTTAATTTACTCAAGAAGCAATTGTAATTCTAGCAACCGTTCTAGGTTACAAAAGATATCAGTTAAATTATTCAAACACAAATTAGACGGCATTCATGCAATTAAACCATCAAGAATCCAGTCATACATCATGATCAACCCCTTCATCAACTCCAAATCCCTAATTAAATTACTCGCAATTAATAATTGAAAAATCAACATAATTGGGATGAATAAAAATAATCGTCATTAATTAAAAAGATGAACTTACAAATAATCCCAGGGTCTTGGGGTAAACAATGATAAAAATTAAAAACGCAAGTAATCTCGTCTCTGGGCCTCTTCGTAATGTTCCTAACCCAAAAATATGAGTGAGTAAAGAGACCTTATTTATAGAAAACGGATGAGTATCTGAGACTAACAAAGGTTGAAATCCGCACGACTGTGCGTGGCTGACAGTGGCCTCCTTGCTTTCTTGTCTCGGACGCACGATCGTGCGTTCCTCTACGCACGGTGTGCGTTAAACTTCCGAATTTCACAAAACTTCTTTCGAGAAAGTTGTAGATAATGAAGTCCTCTATCCACTGCAATTTTTCGAATTGGATTTGAATAATCCAATCAAGAGATATGATCCAAATGGTGGAAGGTCTCATTATGAAATCGCAACAGGGATCACCTGAATTCATTGTCTGTTTTCACCTTCTTGCCCTCCGATTCTTGGAATGATGTCTTCATATGATTTGTAGTCCTTGAAGTTGGCTTTTATATGGAACTTGAATAGTGTTAATTGGATGTTTCTACAAAGATATATGCTTGAATGATTGACAAAAGGTCATCCTGATCGTCGTTTTCAACCTTTATTCATCTTCTTTTGATCCCGTAACCACTCCTAGAGCTCTTTTGCGTTCAAATTTTCACCGTGAACTTCCCAGTGACCTCCAAAGCTCTCAATCCACTCTCGAATGCATCTCGAATCATTCCTATTGCTCCTCACGCGCCGGTGCCGAACTCTAAATTTCTGATTTTGACTCCAAACAACACAAAACTCGAACCAACGCCCGGTAAACATAACTTGAGAAGCGTCTCCTCATCATGTGTGTCACCCTCGTAGACTATAGATGAGTGGAGGGGGAAGGAAAATCTTCGGATCATCTAGAGCCCCATCTGAGAAGGACTGCGGATGTCCGATGGCATTCTTGATGTGTACCATGTGGCGCCTGGCGTCCATCAAAATACCCCGATCATACACGTCCTCGTCACTCCCATCTCGGGCCTCGGTTCCTGAGTCATAACCCACTGGACGCCAATCGCGACACCCCCTGCATCACTATTATCTTGGACCACGATCTCCTGTGAGACGTCCCCTTCACCTTCTCCATCAGAGGCGTCTTCTCCGGACACACTTGTGGAAGTGGCACTTATCATCACATTCACTTGCTGGGTGGCGGCACCATTAGCATCATCAACAACTATAGGTCTATAGTCCCCACAGTGGAGGTAGAACCCAGGTTACCAGAAGTGCTGGTTTAATTTTGCCCGAGGATCGGGAATCAGAACTAGAATCCAATGAATAGCTGGAGCTAGAGCTCGACGAGATTTCCATCGAGGTCGCCATACCGAGGTTAAAAAAAGATTGGAGTAGAAAAAGGAAAACCGAAATTACCTTATAAAAAGCAGCGACGAACCAGAAAACCTTGGTGGCATAGACTTCCAGAACGGCAAGCTTGAGAAGCGAGAAATCGGAAACCCTAAGCCATTTGGGGGATTTGATATTTATAAGGGGGAGTAGTGTTTCACAAAGCCAATGAAACGGTGACGGTGGCGAAGAGCATACCCCAGGTACGTGTCCGATGGCATATGGGGTCACTCCCTTATGGAGTCATATCGGATATTGTGGCACCATAATCACCTTTCATTTATTGTATGGGATCTTCCACTAATATCCACAGGTCTCGTACAACCAGACAACCAGTAATATTGGGATAAGGGTCAGATAGGGCCTCGAACTCGAAAAAAAATGTCAAATAAGGTCATATTTCGGATGCTCTGTCTGGCCGACGCCATTTGGGGCGGTTCCCGATGGAATTTTTTGATAAAATTTTTTGAGCATCTTCCTCATTAAGTCTAGTTTACCCATACCAAATTTCAGCTAAAAACTCAACCGAGAAGGTAGTCAAATGAGTTTTTGAAGATAACTGTGAAGTTAAACAATGCCGTACATTTCGGAAAATTATTTGACTACCTTCCCGGTTGAATTTTTAGCTGAAATTTGGTATGGGTAAACTAGACTTAATGAGGAAGATGCTCAAAAAATTTCATCAAAAACTTCCATCGGGAACCGCCCCAAATGGCGTCGGCCAGACAGAGCATCCGAAATATGACCTTATTTGACATTTTTTTTCGAGTTCGAGGCCCTATCTAACCCTTATTCCAGTAATATTCTATCGAATACGACGACCCCACCCGACCACCCGCCGATCCGCGTGTTATTAATATCCAGGCTGAAATTGGGAATGGATATTAATAACGAAATTGCTTCACCATGTGGAGTTCGTCGACCATGTTGAACACAGATTTCATCGGCGGAGAAAAAACACTCAACTTCCCGAATTTTGATCCATCATCTGGGGAAGGAAAAACAGCGGATGATAGCACCCACAGCACCGCGTCGAGCGAGGAAATACCACCGGTGTCACTTGAAACATTGGGAAGCGAAGATGACGCCAAAAGTTTTAACAGTGATGATTATGCCGGAAGCAAGAGCGATTATGAGAGTGAAGAAGCTTGGAGGGAGACGAAGGAGTACAATAGACGGTTGATTGAGTCAGAGGTGGCCTATCAGCGTGCACTGTCCTTTCTATTTCTTATACGGTTGTCAATTATAGTGACTTAAAATAGATTATTTGGTTCTGTAATTGTTAAGTTTAACTGTGTTGTTAGGGTTTTGATGTCCTCCCTGTACCAGCTTGTATCCATTCTGGCGGAGTACAACCACTCTACTCGGAGGAGACTTTGGAGGCGTATGTGGAGGAGGATTCAGATGAGGATTCACATGAGGACTCAGAAGAGGATTCTGAGGACGACGATAAGTATCGATCTCATTATAGCTTCGTGAAGGAGTACACCTCCATGGCCATTGATCAGTACAATGCTGATAACGTATGTGGTACACAGTAATTCTTTAAGTATTATCTTTCACCTTTTGTATTGTCAATCTGGATCTTTTCCCTGAGCTTGTTTGGTTTGTTGATTTCATAGAGGAGTGAATAGAAGGATTGATTTTTATTTTACTATATCATCTATTTTTGTTAAGTGATTTTATGAGATATACTAAAATAGGTACATGATTGGTTGGACCCTGTATTTTTAATTTGTACGTAGTATATAGTTATTTATCTTAACTATACCTTTGACCTTTCAAATGGACAAATAGTTTAGAAACTATATATCTTCCCTCCCATCTAAAATCTCTGAACCAAACAAACCGTATGTCATTCAGTGACATGGGCCCGATTGTGTAGATTTTGAAATCGTCCATTGCTTGACCAGCATAATTCCTGCCCAACTTAGAACTCCGGTAGAGGAGAAGCACGTAGTTCAAAAAGACACAATGCATAGTGAGGCAGTGAAATATAGCCCCGGTAAGTCTGGGACCGTAGGTTCCATGAGTTGTGCGCATAGGACGCCTTGTCCTAGGTGTGAGGCACTGCTCTATTTTCTTCGCGCGATTTCCATCATCCTGATTTTTTCCCTAATAAGTTGTAATTATTTTAGAGGGAATATTTATCTGTGTACAGTCATCTGGTTTGTTTGCTTTATGTTGTGATATGAATGTTATGAATTTTGAACTATTGAAGTTTAAACTTGTTAATATTGTGAGTTTTGATGTTGATATTTGTGTATGATTTAGTTGGTATTATGCTCTGTTAGAGATATACTCATATACTCCGTATTATGAAGCACATTCCTATATTATTATTCAAAACATGGTGTTAATGTTTTGAGTGCAAGATAATCTGTAACGATAATCCGTTTTAGCTTACAGGATATGCCTTAGACCTCCGTTGTCTGCGCCTAGCGCCTTGACTATTGAAACCTAAGTTTCCTCTATGTGCCTTTTGAAACATAGGATCAGAACGATTCTATTCTTTTGTTAATTTCATGAACCAACTATATTTTTTTTTGTGGAATTTTAGAATGCAAAGCTGGAACTAGTGCGGATTAAGAAAGTAAATTATGGACCTTGTTGTGGTTTCAATTACTATATAACAATCCTTGCCAAAGACACCATTTCGGGAGAGGTGAAGACTCTTCAAGCCGAGGCTTACCATTCCGCATTCAAATCAGAGAGGAGTTTGACTTTCGTGAGGTTGGCACCAGGACAGCAATGGTAATAATATCCTTTCTCTGCATCTAGCTAAAGTTCATGTTCTGTATTCCCACAATTAACTTACATACGAACTATCTTTTAATCTCTGATTAATTATTTAGAATTTGGGGTGCTTTCCGAACATTTAAAAGGTACTAGTATTTATTAATGCTAATGTAAATATAACCAGATAGAAGTTAACTAGCTTTATGATTGGTCAATCATCTTAAATCGAAACAGGAGCTTAAAATTCAGGTAGAGGAAGCAAAATAATTAATTTGGGTGATTATTTGTTAGGGACCCGGCCCAATAGAGTATAATAATAATAAAGTGTAAAAGTCTAGTATAAATAGAATAGGCTGGGGGGAGGTAGAGTAGGCTTTTTGACATTTTGTCTTGGGACTGGGACTGGGAAAGATTTGGGATTATCTGTCTCTATCTTTTGGGGGCTTCGGCTCATTGTACTGATTACTATTCATCATCTTCAATACCAATTTCTTTCTTGTTTCTTGAGATATTTCCTGTAATTGTTCTGGATTCCTTGGGGGTCCAATCATTATTCCATCACTTGCCATGGTGGTAGTAACCTTTTCCGGGCTCACACCTTTGCTTGTCCTCATATTTTAAATCATACTGCACAGTTTCTTTGCATAATAACTTTGCAAAAACATTTGAGTGCAGCCCAATGTTCTTCATGTCTTCTTTGAACCCCTGACTCTATGTTCTTCATGTTCTCTTTGAAGTTTCAACCTCTGCCTCTCTCTTCTTGATGCTCCCTTTGAACACCTGCCTCTCTGTTACCTTCCTTGACTCTCCTGCGTGCTTGTTGTTGACGCATTTCATTTTACTTGCAGATAGCCCATTCAAGTGCGCATGGGAATAGTAAATTTGAGATGCTGGAGAATGTTGGCTGAGCTACAAATAAACGGAACTGCTCATTGATGTAAGTGTTATAAGGAGAACTTCAAGGGTGCTTGGGAGGAACCTTGCTACTACTCCCTAATTATTATTACGGAGTATTATTATTACCACCATGATCATCATCATTTTTATTGTTAGCGTCACCATTATTATTATTATTGTTACCTTCACTAATACTATGTATTAGTGTTCTTATTATCTATGATTACCATTATTACCATCAAAAGTTATCATTACCCTACAGTGGCGGAGCTAGATATTTAGGGTTAAAGGGGCCGGTTCTTAACAATTTTACATTGCAGAGGCCAAAGTTTAAAATATTAACATAGTTTCTACAGATTAAAAGTATTTATACATAATATATACTTAAAAAATTTTTTCTTGCAAGGCTGTGGCCACCTCCAGCCCCTCCCTGTCTCCACCCCTGTTACCATAGTATGCGTAATTGCGTAAATCAAATTCAAATCAAATTCTAAAGTGTTGTTTTCATTTAAAAAAAGTAATTTAGGTCATTTGATTCAACAGCCGTGCATATTTATCTATTCTTGTAATAACATGTACGAGTATAGAATGATTAATTTTTCTACTTAAGACACTGAATAAATAAAAATAAAACCTAAAAATATGCAATTATATTTGTTAGTTTAATAAAAATTAAAAAGGAGTATTAGATTATTTGTGAAGAAGTATTAAAAATGAGTCGAGAATGAGGATTGGATATGTAAATGTGCAATAAGTCCTAGACTCGGGCCGGGCGGCCCGACCTGGAACTGGCCCGGCCCGGCCACTGTAGCAACCGGCCTGACCCGGTGGCCCGGTCCACCGGCGGTTCGGGTCGAACCGGCCCAGTGGATACCGGTTCCGGGCCCGGGCCCTCCATTTGGTGAACTGGTCCGGCCGGTTCGGTTCCGGTTCGGGCCGGAATTAATTTTTTTTTTTTTTATTTTTTTTTTGAAATTTTTTTTAGGTTTTGGGTTGGATTAGGTATTTTGGGCCATTTGAGGTGGTTTGGGGTTGAGGGGAGGGGTAGGGAGTTAAATAAGAGTAGCCAAAAAATCAAAAAAAAAATAAGGCGGGTGAACCGGCCCAGAACCGGCCCGGTCTGGCCCGGAACCGGCCCGGAACCGGTCACCGCCGGTTCGGGTCCGGGCCCTGCTTTGGTGAACCGGGGCCCGGCCGGTTCAAGGCCCGAACCGGGCCCGGCCCGAGGCCACCACTATGTGCAATTACATTTCAAAATAGAGATGAGCAATTTGTCAAAATGTCCTAATGTCATCCGACTACTTTGTACTCCCTCCGGTTCAGAATAAACTTTACACTCATTATTCACTGGTCAATTTATATCATTCTTAAACTTTTACTTTATATATCAAATTTTTATCGAATTTAAATTTTCTTGATCAGGCTTTGTAGCGGTTTTAATGTAGTTTTTGAATATGTAAATTTTATTTACTAAAAGTAATCCGAGTGTGAACAGGGATCGAGTTGCTTTATCGTCGGTCAAGCATTTTTTTCCAAGTGTAAAGTTCTTTCTAAACCGGAGGAAGTATAACTTAAGTTCATGTATTGTATAAGATCTTATTTTTGCTCTATATTGTATAAAAAATATATCACAACTCATAATTTTTTATGAGCTTTCATTTGACATCAATATTGTATATGTAATTTAAAAAAAATTAAGAATATATAGATCCCATTTGGGGACTCCTTTTTTTCGGCTTATGCGTCTGCTCAACCAACTTTTTCATCAAACACGAAACTTTTGATTTTGCGTGCTTATTGTGTAATATTCAAAATAAGTGAGGTTGAAATTACTTTTCTGACTGCATTGAGTGAAGTTACATAAATATGACCAAAATAATTTTAATAGATTATATTAACAGAAATTATTATTAGTATAACTTTTTAAAAAATAATTACATAAATATGACCAAAATAAATATATTTTACGAAAATATGACTACTTACTAGAATATTAATGAAATCATCATAATCCATGTTTGGGTTTTGAACTTAAGTTACCACAACACTACATTGTAGTAATGAATAGTCATATTTATGTGAATAAGTTTTTTTTAAGTAATATTCTTGTAAGAAAACCATTTTTTAATAAATAAGCCAATTCAACCAATATAGTCATTTCAACTTGAACTTCACAAATTTTAACAGAATCAGTCAATTCAGTCACAACTTGAATCTCAAATCGAAGGATAAAAACTCGAATAAATAATCTAAATTTGGTCTGGTTATTATTAACCCAACCTTATTTTTTTAATTATTTATTCAATTAGCATTAGTTTGGAAAAGACTCTGGTGAGATATATTATCCCGTCCTATTACTGTTCAGGAGTCCAAGGCTTTACGTGATACGAAGCCCAATCAGTAAGGCCCATTTTAGCCCACCAGGACCGATATCGGCCGTTTGGCCCATTAGGGTGAAGAGCCCCTTCTCCCCTTCTCCTATAAATAGGGAGCTTAGCCTCCATGTAAAGGATCCCTTTTTTAGCTCTTCTTCTCCCTCCTTAGTTAGCTTACAAGACTCCATTAATGGGAGCTCAAAATGTATTATGTAATGGTGAAGAGAGTTCTAATGAGAAAGAGAGGGCTTGGACATTAGCCTAAAAAGTCCCGTGGTTTTCTCCCTTTCGGGTTTCCACGTAAAAACTGAGTGTTCATACACATTTATACATATATTTACTATATCGTGTTGGATTAAATTCAACACTGGCGCCGTCTGTGGGAATCTGTCCAAAAAGATTCATGTGTTCTATTGTTCTTGGGTTTCTAAAAAAAAATCATACGGATGAACTGGATTCCAGAAAAGAAAAAAGGAAAGAAATGGCTCTGAGGGAAGAAGAAACGAAGAAGCTACAGAAATTGGGAAGCCAAATCTGGATTTTTGTTTCCAGATCTGTTTTTGAAGTCGCCGGAGCCACCGCCGTACCCGCCGGCAGGGACCCTCCGTGGTGTTAGCCGGCACCAGAAAAAGCTCGTTTAAGCACCCCAAATCTCATAGCACCTGCAACACAGCTGCTCGTCACGCGCAGCTGCTTCTGCCGCCTAAAGTCGCCGCACCGCCGCTCGCCGCCGGCGGTCAACCACCGACTACCCCTCCGCCTAGTCAGTCGCGGGGCGAGCCTCCACCAGCCATCCTGTTCGACCGCTGTGACCTGAGGACCTACCGACTGGGAGTTTGATTTCCACCATTAATGGTGTTTTTTAAGCTCAAAGGAAGTAAAATACGAAGCTCAAAAGATCTCCCAACGAAACTACGCCCTCTGGCCGGCCTTGCTCTGCCGCGACCACCATCTCCACCGGCGGAAGGTGGCCGGCACGTGCAGCCTGCTTATGGGTTGGTAGAAGGCTGTTCCATCTGTCTGTCCTAAGAGGTACACTCCGCGTAAATGCCTTAGTCTGAAGCTGACCACGTCCGCAAGTTTTGGGACCAAGAACGGAAGGCTGCCTGCTTTGGAAGAGTTGACCAGCAGCTGGGTCTGCACAACATGATAAAAGGGAAGCAAATCTGGCTCTACATAGCCTCGTTACTGGCCGAGTCTTTAACTTGGAAGCTAAGTGCCACTTACTCCCTTTATTAAAGTATTCGAATCATGAAGCATGATTAATATTGCAATTAATTTGTATCACCATTATTTATTAGGGATTGAAAATCCCAAAATTAAATAGTGAGAGCAATGTTCTAAGTGATAATTGAGTCGCCGTCATTTAAATGGGATGACTGGGTGTTGTGGGCCCGTCGGCCCGCTCCTGATCGGCTTTAATTAGCGAACGGAGCGTATCTCAATGATCTTTGGTAGGATAGTATCATTACTATTACCTGTTATATCACTAGCTATTATTTATTAGGGATAAAATATCCCGAATTAAATAATGCGGAGCGAAGCTCAAGTGATAGTTAGTTCGGCCAATATTTTATCGAATATTTAATTTCTTGTGGGCCCGTTGGCCCACTCTCGATCAGCTTGATTAAGCGATCTGAGCGTCTCCAAAAGGGCGATGCCCCGACGACGCATTTTAATCGGAGGGTTGCGCATTAGTCCGCACGGCACTACGTGCCCGATCGACGACCGTACCCCAGAACCATCCGCGCCGCTAGGCGCGAAGTGACTATTGCCAAACGTGGCCTATGGGGCCCGAGGGCAGCAAAGCACTCAACCTCGTTTTTTCCGAGGGCAGTGCGACCAACTTGGGTCTGAGTTTGAAAACTCACAGACCGATGAATACCTCTATGTGACGTTCGGCGGGCTGCTAATTGGCCCCGCCGCGAGCTGCTACATCCCTTAACCCCGCACGATGACCCGGGCCGAGGGTCACAATGACCCATAGGCCGGTAATCGTGGATGTTAAAGAGAAAGCCATGCAGATGGTCATGTGTGAATATTTATTGTCGGGCCGTGCGGCCCGTTACCATGCTTATTGCGCAGCTGAAGCCTCTCGACGCGCTCGAGCGAAATGATTAAAAGACGATCGGCCTAAGTCTCAAAGACGTTCAGGGCCAGCTAAAGTGGAGACCATCACGGCTGAGAGCCGATGGACGAGCATCTCCACCCAGAGGTCGAGGGCCTAGAGGAGACCACCACGGTTGAGAACCGTGGGACGAGCATCTCCACCCCAGAGACCGATGGCCTAGGAAGAACACCTAGAGGCCGAGGGTCTAGAGGCGAATGCCATGACAGAGAACCGTGAGACGATCACCCGTCATTCAGAGGCCGAGGGCCTAGAAGAGATCGTCACAGCCGAGGGCCGTCTGACGCCATCATTACATCATGACCGGCCCCTCGGCACGACATGATCATCATATTTGAAGACCGGCCTCGTCCCCGCACTGCACGGATGAGGACCGTTGCTTGGATTTCAGATCAGCCTCTCATTGCCGACATCATTATATCACGACCGGCCTCTCGGCACAGAGTGTTTATCTTTTGAAGACCGGCCTCGTCCCCGCCCTTCGTGGATGAGGGCCGTTGCTTGATTCTGTCAGATCGGCCTCTCATTGCCGACACCATTATATCACAACCGGCCTCCCGGCTCGGCGTGCTTTCCATATTTGAAGATCGGCCTCATCCCCGCTCCCCGTGGATGAGGACCGTTGTGTGCTCACTCTCAGATCGGCCTCTCATTGTCGATATCATTATATCACGACTGGCCTCTCGGCACGGCGTGTTTATCTTTTGAAGACCGGTTTCATCTCCGCGCTGCGTGGATGAGAGCCGTTGCTCGG